GCAAACAAAAACGGAAAGCCTCAAAGAAAAAAACAAAAAGACAGCTGCCCCAGCAGCACAGCAAGAGAGGAAGCAGCAGCAGCAGCAGCAACAGCAGCAGCAGCAGCAGCAACAGCAACCACAGCAGCAGCAACAGCAACAGAAACCACAGCAGCAACAGGAACAACCACAACATAACCAACAGAAAACGAAGCAACTGACACAGCAGCAGCAGCCCCAGCAGCAGCAGCAGCAGCAGCAGCAGCAACAGCAGCAGCAGCCGCAGCAGCAGCAGCAGCAACACGAAGCGCAGCAGCAGCAGCCAAAACAACCGGCACAAACGCAGCAGCAGCCGCTCCAGGAGCAGCAGCACCAACTGCAGCATCTACAGCAGCAGCAGCAGCCTCAGCCGCAGCAGCAGCAACAGCAGCAGCAGCAGCAGCAGCAGCAGAGAGGCAGCACAAAGAAAGCAGGAAGAAGAGGGGGCTCAGGCAAAGGAAAACAAAAACGCAGCTCGTCAGAAGCGCAGCAAGAAGCACACGATAGGAAGCAATCTGCTGCTGCTGCAGTTGCTGCTGCTGTGCAGCAGCAACAGCTGCAGCAGCAGCAACTGCAGCAGCAGCAACTGCAGCAACGCCAGTTTCTCCAACACCTGCAGCAGCAGATGCAGCAGCAGCAAATGCAGCAGCAGCACAAACTAAGCAAAACCAACGACGCACAGTTAGCTGCTGCAGCACCAGGATCGCAGCAGCAGCTGCTGCAGCAGCAGCAGCAGCAGCAACTGCTGCTGCTGCAGCAGCTAAGCTCAGGCATGAGCGACGCTGCAGCAGCAGGCAAACGAGAAGACAAGAGTATGAATGAGCAGCAGCAGCTGCTGCGGCAGCGTTTGATAGAGCTGCAGCAGCAGCAACATTTGCTGCAGCAGCAGCACCTGCAGCAGCAGCAACAGCAGCAGCACCAGCTGCAGCAGCAACACCTGCGGCAGCAGCAGCTGCACCGCCAGAACATACAGCAGCCAGAGCAAGAGCATTTGCTGCAGCAGCAACAGCTGCAGCAGCAGCAGCTGCTACCCGCTCTGCAGCAGCAGCACATGCAACACCAGCTGCACCTGCAGCAGCAGCAGCAGCATCAGCTGCAGCAGCAGCGCATCCACGAGCAGCACCACCAGCAGCAGCAGCAACACCTTCAGCAGCTGCAGCAGCAATATCTGCAGCAGCACCCCCATATATTCCCGCAGCAGCAGCAGCAGCAGCAGCAGGTGAAGCTGCAGCTGCAGCAAATGCGGCAGCAGCAGCAGCAGCAGCAGCAGCAGCACTTGCAGCAGCTGCATAATCTGCAGCAGACTGCAGATCCCATGCAGCTGCAACAGCTGCAGCAGCTGCTGCAGCAGCAGCAACAACAGCAGCAACAGCAGCAGCAGCAACAGCCCCAAGCAGCAAATATGTGTAACGAAGATCAGCTGGTGCTGCAGCTGGCTTTCGAGCTGCTGCAGCGTTCAGGCCAGCAGCAGCAGCAGCAGCAGCAGCAGCAGCACGTAGCAGCAAACCAAGAAGCAATACCACACCTGGGTGCTGCTGCTGCTCCGCTGCGGAGAGAAGACAGACCTGTCTTGCTGCAGCAGGCTTTGCTGCAGCAGCAGCAAATGCAGCAGCAGCAGCAGCAGCAGCAGCAGATGCTGCAGCAGCAGATGCAGCAGCAACAGCAGCAGCAACAGCAGCAGCAGCAGCAGCAGCTGCAGGAAGTAGAAGCTCCTCTTTCTTTAGTGCATGCANGCAGCAGCAACAGCAGCAGCAGCAGCAGCAGCTGCAGGAAGTAGAAGCTCCTCTTTCTTTAGTGCATGCATCTCAGGCCCCTCTCTCGTTGTCTGCTGCTGCTGCAGCTCATCCCCAGCAGCAGCAGCAGCAGCAGCAGCAGCAGCAGCAGCAGCAGGTGGAGTTGGGGGGCATGAGGGCGCGGCGCCTTGAGAAGATAAACGTAGAGTATTTAGGCTGCAGCAGCAGCAGCAGCAACAGCAGCAGAAGGTCAGGCGTGCTGCAGGTGCATGTACACCCGGGAACATATGTAGCAGCAGCAGGAAAGAGAGAGAAAGTAGTAGTGAAACATTTGCTGCTGCAGCCTGCTGCTGTCAACAGCCCCCTCTGGCAGCAGCAGCAGCAGCTGCTGCAGCAGCTGCTGGAGTGGCAGCAGAATAGATGCTGCGGCCTCATCGGCATAAAAGCAATAGAAGTGCAGCACGAGGGAACAGCAGTTTGCTGGAGCAGCAGCAGCAGCAGCAGCAGCAGCAGCAGCAGCAGCAGCAGCAGGGGTGGGGGTGGTTATGTTATGATGAAGACAGAGGATGAAACTGCTGCTGCTGCAGCAGCAGCAGCAGCAGCAGCAGCAGCAGCAGCAGCAGCAGCAGCAGCAGCAGCAGCAGGAAGAAGAGAAGTTTATGTTGTCTTAGAAGCAGCAGCAGGACCCCTACATAAACAAATAAACCTGCAGCTGCTGCAGCAGCAAATACAAACAAACAAATTCTTACCACCACAAGGAGGTATATAGGGTTTAGGGTTTAGGGTTTAGGGTTTAGGGTTTAGGGTTTAGGGTTTAGGGTTTGGGGTTTCTTGTTTAGTGTATAGGGGTGATTGATTATTGTTTATCGTTTATTACTTTTTATTTTATTTATTTATTTATTTATTTATTGTTTATTATTTTTTATTTTTTATTTTTATTTATTTATTATTTATTATTTATTATTTATTTGTTATTTATTTGTTTATTTTTTTGTATATTATTATATTATTTTAGTGTCTATCATTGAATATTGCTTCTATACATTTTTTTCTTTTGAGGGTTTAGGGTTTAGGGTTAAGGGTTAAGGGTTAAGGGTTTAGGGTTTAGGGTCTAGACGAAAGGGTTTAGGGTTTAGGGTTTAGGGTTTGTGTGTTTTTTATAGTATTGGCGTTAATATACCACTTGCTGCAATCTCTCTGGGGTTTACATTTGCTTAATCTAGGGTTCAGGGTTTAGGGTTTAGGGTTTAGCTGTG